ATGCACGTGTACTGGCTGGGGGGTGGGCTCCCAGGAGTCCCCAGGGCTCAGACAGTATGATGCCCCATTCCCACGGTGCCGCCAACCGCCAGCGTCTAACAGGAAACCCCATATCAGGGCAGAGGCCTGTGAAGGAACCTGGCTGGAGCCACAGACAGAGGCAAGGGCCAGGTCACTCCTGTGTTACGTGGCCAACAGGCACGCAGGGTAGTTTCCTGAGAGCGCTTCAGGCTCCATCCCCTCCCACCCTGCCCTGCCCTGCTCAGACCTCCCATGGCCCACTGCCCCCAGGACCCAGCCGGGCTCTCGGACCCTGCTCCTGTCCTGCCTCCCCTCTGACCTGCCACAGGCAACACCTTCTCAGGTTTCTGTCCAGTATCCTGGGGCCTGGCAGACCCTTCCTGAGACACCCTCAGCGGGCTGCCCCTCCCTTTTCTCCTGCCCTCTTCCCACCTGGGCCCTGTCACCTGTGTCTGGTCTCACTCCCCAGAGACCTGCCAGTGGGCTGACCCTGCCTGCCCCATCTCTACAGCCGAGGGCAGGTGAATGGGTGAGGGATTTCCAGGGACTTGGACTGTGTGAGAAATCCAGCTGCAGTGATCCTTCTGTACCCTGGGCCACACGTGGTTATTTAAATATAAATTAGTTAAAGTTCAGTAAAATTAAGAATTTGTGGGATTTCCCTGGTGGTCCAGTGGTTAAGACTCCACACTTCCAAAGCAGGGGGCTCAGGCTCAATCCCTGGTCGGGGAACTAAGATCTCACATGCCGTGCAGTGGCACAGCCAAAAAAAAAAAGAATTCATTTCCTCAGTCACACTAGCCACAGTTCAAGTGCTCAATGGCCACAGGTGGCTAGTAGCTGACATATTGGACAGCACAGATACAGGACATTCCCATTATCATAGAAAGTTCTTTTGGATAGCTTTGGTCTAAAATTTTCCCACCAAGTAAAGGTGCAGAGGGAGCCTCTCATTTTACAAGATTCTTAGGGCATTCTGTGGAAAAGGGCAGCAGCAGTGGCAGAACTTTCTTCCTAAGACCTTGCAGGGGGCACTCTCCATCTGCAGGCCTGAGCTTTGGCGTCTTGGACCTTTTCTAAAGCTTCCAGAAAGCCCTCAGGTCCACAACCCCAAGGGAGCTGCCCAGCCAAGGCCTCTCTGTGCAAGTCCCAGCCCTGCTCCACCCCAGGGTCTCTTTCTGGTCCCAGCCCAGGGAGGAGCTGCCTCCTGCAGCCCCACCTCACATCCTGGCCACTGCTACCTGGAAGGGCCTTATCTGTCCCTGGACTTTGGGCCTCACCACACCTGGGCCCTAGTCCTCCCTCCTTCCCTCCTTCCCACAAATGTCCGGGTGGTTACCTGGGAATTCAGGCAACACTGTCTAGCTCCCTCCCTACTTGGGAGCCCGGCTTTCCCCATCTGTGGTCATGGCTATGGAGTCCCACCCCCAAAAGGCTTGAGCGTCTCCATCTGTGGTCCTTGGTCCATGACTGCCCTCTCTAGCCCAGGCTAGGCCTCAGTTTCCCTATCAGTGATTTAACTGGCTCCTCTCCCCAACCCTGGCCAGGCTGTTTCCCCATATCTGGTCCTGTTTGCATGACCAACCTCTGCCCCACCAGGCCAGGCCTCAGTTTTCCTACCTTTGGTCCTGGTCCACGACTGACCTCCAGCCCCACCCCACCCTAACCAGTGTCAGTTTCCCCAACCAAGTGCAGGTGCAGCACGCTGCCCCTCCCCCTGCAGCCCAGGGCACTCACACAGCTGGGACTCTGGGGTCCGCATGACCTTGCGGGACTCCTGCCAGATGGTCTTGCAGTCCTCCTGCAGCTTGTAGAAGCGTTCTCTCCGCCATGAGTTGGACTTCACCTTCAAGAGTTGGCTGCCCTTCAGCAGTGCCTGTAGGTCCTTGTCATCCTGTAGACCTAGGGGGCAGAGCTGGTAAGATGCTACCTCCTCTAGGGTCCCTGCTGCCCCAGGCTCCATGCTGGCCATGCCCACCACTGGACCCTCTCAGCCCATTTTTCACCAGCCTCATCCTCAGCTCTCTGTTCATTTCTCCCTCCGTCACCCTTGTTCCAACCTGATTCTGGAGCCCTGCCTTCTCCAGGAAGGCATCTGTGTTGCCAGCTGAGGCCACGTAAACCTTTGGACACCCACCCACTCAAGGCCACACTTTATACACTATGACCTGCCACCCACAGCTGAATGGACAAAGAGAGGGCAGCTAATTCAAGAACACCTGGTTCCTGGGTGACCAGACCCCTAGGAAATGGCCTGGCTCTGAAAGACTTAGTGGGCTCCTCCTAGGGGTCAGAGTGACCTGAAGGAAGCTGGGACCAAAAGACCACCCTAGCCTGTCACCCTGGCCACATGGAGTCCAGCAGCCAGCTCTATTCAGAGCCGATGGACTACCTCACCTCACTTCTGGCCCCAAAACAAAAACTCTGTGGCTTTTCAGCAGTCTTTATCCTTCTGCTTCAGCAGAGTGGTGGCATCAGGGACCGTGTGGGTCCAGTCGGAGGGGCCTGTGCCTAGGCCTATAGGCTTTTCCTTTCTGAACCCAGATCCCCAACCCCTGATGTGCTCTCCCAGTTTATCCATGACCCCACTCCCTATGCCCCAGCCAGCCTGCTCCACACACACTCAGGACCTACAGAATCTTCTGGACCACTTCCCCGGGCCTCAGCCACCCACCCCCTATCCCTCCCCAATCTCCTGCTTCCAATGGAGACACAGGCACGTGCTAACAGCCCCCCACACCCATGGCTTCAGGAAACCTCCTTCCCTCTCTGTGCCTCTGTTCCCCCAACAGCACTGGGGAAGGAGGTGTCTCAAGACCTCCTCAGAGGTGACAGTCTGATGTGACCTTCCCCCACCTTGGTCCCAGCTCTCTCCACCCCCTGCCTTAGTGTCAGCACTTTCCCTCCAGCCCCAGGGGAGGCCCATTGAGGGAGGAGGGGGCTCCTGCAGGATGTCCTCAACTGGTGGCTGTGTCTGTGGGGCTCAAGACAGAGGCCGGGAAGGGTAGTTCCCAGCCGCCGGAGGAGAGAGCAGCCTCAGCTCAGCTGGGGGATTCCACTGTCCTTTCCGAGGCTGAGGTCAGCTGGCAGGGGGTCATCTCCTTACCCTCTGGCTTCTGGCTGTACCGCCCCTCCCCGGCTAGGGCATTAGGACAAGCCACTGCGCATGGCACAGATGGGGGGAGGGGCGGCGCACAGGGGCGGAAGGTGAGCCCCACCCTCTGGTTCTGGAAAAGGCTGTGAGCAGATGACATGTTCATCCTGTCCTGGAGCCAGACTGTGGCCCTGTCTGCGGTCAGGCAGAGATAAGTCCCCTGGTTGCCGACATGGCTTCCAGAACACAGACCTCGGTCCCAAGGTGGGTCTTGATATTAGTGGCCCTCCAGGCCGCTGGGTGACCTAAGCAGACACCTCCATCTCTGAGCCTCATTTGAGGCCCTTTTGTTTCTGAGGCCTCTGGGCTGCCCGCCCCCCCTCCCTTGCTCCCTTAGCACCCAGATGGTCTATGGGCCCTTCGCTCAGCCCCACTCACTCAGCTGAAGCACCTTCTCCTCCTGCGGGAGGGTGGTGCTGAGGGGCCTCTGAGCTCAGGGGCCCCTGGGTCGACCTTGCAGCCTCATCAACCTGCCCAGGCTAGTGGCACATATGGGGAGTACAGAGGGGCTACAGTGCTAATAGGAGGCTGACGGTGGGGGCGGTGCCAGGAGCCCTGCCCATGTACCTAGGGTGAGGCCTAATGGAAACAAACTGAGTCTGGGACTCACAGCAATACACAGCTACACAGATATAGCCACACACATACACAGTCACACACACCACACCACCGTACTCATCACACACTGCCATACACAACCGGGAAGAGACAATGGGCCACACACGGTGACACATATTATTACATGGAGTCACACACAGCCACACAACGTACAGTGCCAGAACATCATTGTCGTCATAATAATAGCAGTCACCATAATAATAATAATAGTTCATGTTTGAATAAGATCCTGTTCTTAGCACATGTATTTAATCCCTTGAACAACCCTGTGAGGAAGGCACTATCATTGTTCCCATTTTACAGATGATGAAACGGAGGCTCAAGGAAGTTACATGGTAGAGTCGGGACTCAGAAGCTTGCCCACAAGGCCAATGCTAGAAAACATTACCTTATACAGCCACCTCTCAGGGGCATGCTGCCACAAAGAGTAACAGCAGAACACCCACAGAACACACACACCATAACAGAGATGACAGAATCACTCAGTCACCTGGGTCACCCACAGTCACACACGGTACACAGCATCACCCTGGATCACACACTGTCATACTGGTGCCACTTGGTTACACAGCATTGCATATCATTATTGTTGCACAGTGGCCCCCACTACCATACAAGTGACAGAATCACCACTAGGTTTGTAAACAGGATGGTTTGGGGGTGGCAAGGCGCAGGGTAACCAATCCCCGCCCCCAGTACTCACTCCACATGCCATGCCCGCAAACACAGCCCCACCGTGGGTCACACACTCACAGAACTATACAGGTCCAGTCCCCGAGATCAGGAACATACAGTCTGAGTCCTGTCCCAGCTGCCTTCCCAGCCTCCGCAGATCTCGGCGGGGGGGGGTGGGTGGGGGGGGCGCCCTGCATCCCTTACCCAGCCTCTGCTCATTGAGAGCTGCCACCTCGAGGCTCTGCTCCTGCAGGTAGAGCTCTCTGGAGCGGCTCTGGCTCCGGCTTCGGCGCCTGACCCCCAGGCACTGCATGACGTTCCGAAGTGCCCCCGCCGCCCGCTGAGCCTGGCCCGGGACAGTGTGGCGTCCAGAAGGCAGCCCTGGCCCTAGGAGCGGAACGGCCTCCTTAGAGTGGAGCAGGGGCGGAGACCTGGAGTGGGTGGGCGGGGCTAGAACCCGTGGGGGCGGGGCAGTGAAGGGTCGGGCCATGGCTCTAGAGGCGGGGCGATACAGAAATCTCTGCTGAAGGGGCGGGGCCATACCCTAGGAGGCAGGGACAGTTCCAGAGGGGCAGGACCGATGCCCCCAGGAGGTGCGGCGAGAGAGGAATCAAGGCGGGGAGAGAAGGAGGAGGAACCGGAGCCGGGAGGTGAAGTGGGACAAATCCATAACCCGGGAAGAAGATCAGTGGTGAAAGTCAGAGCCCAGAAAGCGGATTGGGGTGGAGCCAGAGCCAAAGAGATGGGGAGCGGGAGGAGCCGAGTCTGCGAGGCGACGTGGGGCAGAGGTAGCCAGGAAGACGGCCGGGGGCGGAGCCAGGGCCCAGGGGACAAACCGGGGGAGGGTCCCTCACTGCAAAGGCCTTTTGTTTTCCGGCAGGGAGGGGCGGAACCTCGACTGTGGAGGCAGTCCTACCAGGGGGCGGAGCCTGAGCCGCGAATTCTAAACGCTTAGCTGGAGGCCTGGCAGAGGACTGGAGGACTGGGCAAGATTGAGCCGGGAGGTAAGCCCGGCCGGGCGGCAGCCTGGGCTGCAGAGTCTAGCGGACAACCGGGTGGGGCGGGATAGGAAGGAGCCGGGGATGGAGCCCGGGCCGGACAGCGGAACCCGCCAAATATTTTACCTCAGTTCCTCAACGAATCCACTGTGACTCAACGGGCTGTTGCCTCACATGTAAACCTCAGGGAGGCCTGTTTCCTTCTCTGAGAGTTCCGCTACCTGAGTGGGATAATCTCCAAGGCTCCAAATGCGAATGGAATTCTTGAAAAAATGCTGGTCTTAAAAATGAGTCCATTAACACAGGCTTGCTTTGATAAATAGGTGAGGAGGACTCCAACTCCATATGAAACTGTGCTGCCAGTGTGCTCGGAACAGTGGGCCCTTTCATGTAAGTTACGTCTTGCTTTTCATTCACCCAGCAATTATTTACGGAGCCCCTACTGTGTGCCAAGGTCAGGACACCACCCAGAGGCCTGACTCACTCCTCTCTTTTACTCTCCGCCTCTGAATAGTTCCTTCACTCGCCTCACCGCAGCTCCAGTCACCAGCATTGACAGTGAGTCACTGGCAAAGCCAGTTATTAGCACAGACAAGCACAGCAATAATAACAAACTGAAGTGCAGAGCAACTTGCCTAAGGTCACACCTCGGAGAAAAATAAATCATGAGAATGTGTGTTAATGTAGGTGAGCTGGAATATGGGCACAGAAATATTGTTCTTCATTTGGAGCTGAGGGAGCTGATTGTAAGGGGAACCTCTGTTTTAGAGAAACCACGTGATGGTTTAATGGTTTAATCAGAGGGCCAAGGACTCCCCGAGGACCTATGGATAGAATCACATCTCAATACAATTTGCTTCCTTTGAATTCTTATGTATTTTATTTTATGCATTTAAAAACATGATCCTGAGAAGGGGTCCACAGGCTTCACCTAACTGCCAAAGTGGTCCAGGGCACAAAAAAGTTAAGATCAGTGTGGATCAGTGTGTGTCTGTGTTGTGTGGGCATGGAATCCCAGGGACAGACAGCTTTGAAACATAATTGAGGAGGGTAGTGGTCTAGCTACCCCAAATTGCTATGATGGATCTGGAACCGTTATCTCTTGGGGGTACTGGCTTCTTTGCCAACCTAGAATTCCTTTGCCCACTAGTGCTTTATCCTCACAACATCCCCTATCAGTAGGTATTGCTTTCCCGTGGATGAGAAAACAGGCCCAGACAGGCAAAGGGACTTGCTCAGGGTCACAATGTAAGTAGAGGCAAAGCTAGGACTGGAACCCAGGACTGGAACCTAGGACCAAGATGAGGCCCCTCTTACACCCTACCTTGCACTTTTACTAATGCCAGGTTTTACAGTGGGGCGGGAGGGATTCAGTGTTTGAATAGTTAGTGTAGGTGGAGGTGGATGTGTTCAGTGAGGGGAGAGCTTTGGGAAGTTAGGTCTTTTTGGGTACATCTGGGGACCTGCTGGAGAAGCCAGTGCAGACCTGGCTAGAATGGAGCAAGCAAAGGAAGCAGGGTAGGGAAGGAGGCCAGGGGACTACAGCGTCAGCCTGAGGGCTTCAGAAGCACCAGAAGGAGCCCCTGATTCTTCTTTTTTTTTTTTTTTTTTGGCCTCACTGCATGGCTTGCAGGATCTGAGTTCCCAGACTAGGACTCAAACCCCGGCCCCTGGCAGTGGAAGCATGGAGTCTTAACCACTGGACCGACAGGGAATTCCCCAGGAGCCCTTTGATTCTTAAGGGTTCTGGTCACTTTTTTCCTGGTTAGGGACTACCTTATTCCCCCTCATCTCACAAAGTACTCACATGACGTGGTCACTTGGGGGGTGGGCCCCCTGTAGGAACATTGTACCTGCTGACTAGGCACTGTTCTCATTATTGCCTTGTATGTGTTAGCTCATTCAATCCTTACTGCAATCCATGAGGGAGGTAGTGTTCTCATCCCCCATTTTACAGATGAGGAAACTGAGGGACCAAGAAGTCAAGGGATTTGTCTAAGATGAAAAAGCTAAGACTTGAACCCAGGTAGTCTACTTCCATAATCCATGTCTGTATACTACAGTGCCTCTGCATGCATCTGGGGCGAGGACAGAAGGGACATCTCTTATCTAGGTGGCCCCCATACCCCCCCAGGCCAATGGAGGGAGCCTTTCTGCAGCAGACCCCCAACTGCCCAAGCCAGAATGTGTGTCCAGTGCTAGAGGACCCCAAATATGAAAGAGATGCAGACTCTCCAGTGGAAGTGTGAACAACCTGGAACAGCACAGGGCACAGTGACTACACCCTTCCACCACCAGTTCTCCTTGACAGATTCTTGCTTGCTGATATGGTTTGCAGGGGGACCAAAAGTCAGTTAAGGGACGTAATTTTGGGTGATGAGCTAGAAGCAGCAGGGCCTTCAGGGAGACAGCTTGGGATCGCACTGTTCTTGCCAGCTCCGCAGGAAGAGCTGGACTGTCAGGCACTTGGGAGGCAGGTCTCAAACACGATGGACCAGGGCTGCCAAGCCCATGCCACAAAACTGGGAGGCGCTGAATGAGCCTCCACGTGGCTTCCTCTCCAGGGAAGATACCAGGGCTGCCCAGGGACAGAGACTGGGCAAAGGCACAGATGCCTGAGGATGCGGCCCATTCTAACATGAGCTGAGGCTACACCTGTAGCCAGAGGCGATCAGAGGGCTTGTAGGAGGTCTGAATGTGAAGCTGGCACGGAAGAGGTGGCAGTCTGCAGGGTACACAGCACTAGCTAAGGGATGATGAGAGAGAAAGCAGAGATCTCTACTGTGATCCTCTGAGCTGCCCAGCCGCCCTTCCTGCCAGGGTGGCAGGAGCACTGAGACACCTCTGTCCTGAGAGGAGAAGAGGGAGCCCTGGAAAGGGCAGGGATCCCATGACCCTGAAAGAGTTTGCCTTGAGGCTACTTGTGTGAGGGTAACAGCTCTGGGCACTGAGCAAGGTCTCTCTGGGCCATGGGGACCAGATCTGGGACAACCAGGAAAATGAGACAGACTGGGCACTGGCTGAAAGGAACGTCTCCGAGTGTCCCTGAATTCCAGAGGGTCTCTAGTGGACAGCTGGAGGGCTCTGGCTTTCTCTTTCCCTTCTATTATATCCATGCATGGTTTAGGTGGATAGGTGGTGGGCACTAAAGGACTCCAGAGGTACTAGAAAACAGAGGGAGATCGGGTTAAGCGGTGATTGGTGCAAGAGAGGCAGGGTTTGCTGAGCTGGCAGATGACCTGGGGCGCAGGAGGGCAAAGCACGCTAAAAGTGGGTGAGTCCCCAGGCTGGAGCAAAGAGATTCCAGGTCCAGGTTGGGGGCCCCCGTGCAGCTAGGAGACCTCCAGTCCCTGCAGTCCAGAGCCCGCGGCTGCCCTCTCTCCTGGAGAGACAGCTATAGGGCGAGGAGCTGGCCCAGACTGTTTCCCGGTCGGTCGGAGAAGACAGAGCTCGGCTGGACAAAGCGGGGTAGCAGCAGGCAGTTAGAGCTGAGACTCAGGCCTGTCCGGCCAGGAGGGTGCGCAGATGGGGGCGATCGGGCTGCCCCTCCCAGTCTGGGCGTCGCTGACTAGGATTTCTGCGCTGGGCAGTTACTGCGGCGCGGCCCGACCTCACCTCGCACACCTCCTCGCCCCAGCCTTCCCACCCCGCCACACCTACGCTGCCTGACGCGGTCCAGGCACGCCTGGGCTTTGGGGAGCCTCTCTGGGCGGCCCGGACTGGGCGAAGATAACTCAGTTATTCGTGGATGCTGGTTCCTTTCCTCCTCGGTCCCTCCGAGCGCGCCGGACCCTGGAGCCCACCCGTCCGTGACTAGGATAGGGAGAGGGGGAGTCCCCGAGGCGGCAGGGCCGGGGGTCGTCTTTAGGGAAATCTTCAGACTCGCACCCTTCTCCCCACCGGCCGGGTCTGGGGAACAAGCCTGGAAACGCCCAGGGTTGCGCCCGGCAGTCCCGGGTGGAGATTTCCTCCATGCGACAAAAGGGACGAGGGGCGGGCCCGGGGCGGGGCGGAGGGCGGCCGAGGAACCGGGGGTCCCCCATCCTGGGCCGGGAACGGCCTTCCTCGAGGTCGGCCCAGGCGGGGTCCCCCCGCGAGCCGGCCGAGTACTCACCGTGCAGGGTCAGGAAGTCCCGGCCCGAGTCCATGCCCGACGGACGGCGCGGCGGGAGGGGGGCGCCGCGGGACACTCGTCCGCAGCGACAGCGCGGGCGGCCTCGGGTCCGAGAGGAGTACAGGGGAGGGCCCCGAATGGACTGAGGAGGGAGGACACCAGAGGTGCTCCCGGGACTCCGTTCCGCCCCCGGCCCGCCCGCGCCCCCGCCCCCGCCCCCTGGGCCCTCCAACCAGCGCCTCTCCCCGCCCCTCCTGGGGGTTGGGGAGGAGAGCAGAGGTGGGGACCGGGAAGCCGGGCCATCCCTGGCCCAGGCCTGTGGGCGCGTCCCGGCCAGAAATAGCCGGATCTCTCTGGCTTCCTCAGCCACCGCCACCCACAGGCCGCGGACCCTGTCATTATCGCCGGCGGCCCGGCCCCACTCCCTGCCTGTGGGCGCCTCGCCGGGGTTGGGGTGATGCACGAAAGAATCTGGAGTCCTTCTGGGGCAGGGACCGCGTAACGTTCGACGCCCAGCCGGGCTGGTGCGAAAGGGAGCCTCGGAGTCCAGGCGCCAGCCGCTGCTCCCCGGATGTCTGCTTTCCCTTCTGCAAAATGGGTGCACGGACGCGAGTGAGGAGGTCCTTGGAGAGGCATGCCTGGACCTAGTCTGGAGAAGGGTCCCCTCCCGGCTCGCTGGGAAGTTTCTAACCCCAGAAGTGCCCTTGGCGGGGGGCTGGGGCGGAAGCCGTAAAACTTAGAGCAGGTAGGTGCAGAGAGCTCTCCTTTGAGCCCCTCACACCCCAAACTCCTGGAGATCTCCAGGGTACCTTCTTTGGGTGGCCTCCCAAGGGGCTGTCTGGACAAGGGGTCCCTAATGGACCCCCCCCACATACTCCCACCATCAATTCTTGCAATCCTGACACCCTTTTTATAGGTACCCAGAGACCTCCAGGGGAAGTCCTGGGGGGATCCTGGAAGGATCCTGCTGCCCACCAACTTTTGGGAAAGGCCCTTGGGAGAGCCCCCAGAAGACCTCCCAGGATGCGGGGTACTGAGCCCACCAGTGAATCTTGCTGGGCTGATAAAACCAACAGGAGAGTCTGGCAGAACCAGTTGGACCCCAACCCCTCCCCCTCCCAGTACAAGCAGGCCTAGGTGGCCTTGAATACCTCATGAAGGGATGTAACCAGCTAGAGAGCAAGTCTTCCCATCCTGACAGTTAAGCCTGGGTCAGGACTTCGGAGAGGCTCCTGTCCTCTGTATGTCTCCCCTATGCAGAGGGGGGCTGCCCTCT